CTGAAAATGTAACAGATTAAAAGGACTTATGGAAACCAGAAGCATATCTCAAGAATGCGATATGATTGAAACGGACAAGCCTGAAGAAATTATATGTCTTAATCGCCCATTTTAGATACACCGGATTCCGGGAAATTAACCGACCGTCTCTCGATTTAACAAAACTATTGTTTGTTCAGATCAAGACGAAAACCCGGAGTGAATGGGTCTTTCGCGCTCGTTATTTCCGGGTTTTGCTTCTCGTTCGGTAAACAGATAAATGTCAATAGCGTGAAGCAAAATTTAAATGCTAATAAAACTAACAATAGGAATGATTTAATTAAGCGCTGTCATTAGCAAAAAGCGACCGAATAATGGTATTAAAATTAAAGTCACGCCACGTTGATTAATTGGCCCGGATTAAGATGCATTTATGCGTGAAAAAGGACAACGAGGGCTCGACTTTTATTTAATAATGAGTAATAATCGGAATAAATAACGCACCATCGAACTTTTTTATGAAAATTAGCTGGCGAAGCCCGCTCGGGACGGCATCTGCGAGGCAGTATTTTAAAATATGCGCAAATACCGTCCTAAAGAAGTCATGTTACATTTTAGCCTGCCATATTTATCGCGCCCGCCTCATAAGTCCGGGATTTATTATGATCATGTGCAGCAGAATACGTCGGGTTCACTTCGCACTGTTCCGGTTAAAAAATTCCGATTTAATGTGAACGCCTCTTGCTTTTAGTTTATTCTGGAAATCTACGACACATTTTTTCCTTTTATATTGCCCGCAGTTGATGATCAAAAGATGTATTACTTTAAGTAGTGTAATTTAACATCAAGACCCGCATGAGCTTTTTATTTTATTTTTTTTTTCGTGTTTCTACCTGTAATAATTATATTCAGGATAATAACACAAGTATGGAAGAGTTACGTATGCCAGAGATTTGTGAAAAGGGGTATATTGAAACCCTGAGGAAAAACTTCCATCATCTCTTCGATTTATTGCATGCTAAAAAATCTAATCTATAGTCTGCAATACAACCACTATGCATCTGAGGACTCCGTTTTCGTATAAATTCATGTAATAAAAGATGACGTCATCAAATTTTTGCCGGAGATAACTATATAAATTTTGACATGTAGGTATAATCGTGCACTGTAGCATTAATCATAACGTTACTAAATCTACTGAGCTATAAGGAAATTAGATGAACGGCGTTCGAGATAATCACTAATAATATACGATTATCGAATATGTAATATATGGGCACGGAAGATATTAACAATGCAACGAGTCCGCGATATCATAATACGTATGTTCTGGTAGTAATGAATACAAGAAGGATCATTACACAATGAATAAACCAGAAACATCACTTAATAGTGAGAGCGCTATCAAAAACAGTACTTCGTTGCGACTGATTGATTTTCTGACTTACGTAAGGGATAATACCTAGGCATAAATCAGTCATGATATTCACATTTACATTTCCAACTATAAAATAAAATTTATTTTTCAATATATGTGTAGTGTATTGATAATTATAAATTTACTCATCATTTCTTCGAATTCTAGAACAGTAGAATGTTGATAAAGTCACACCAAGAAAAGTTAAGTATAATAAGCTCACTTTAAATACGTACTAATAATATTTTACAACTTTAGTCAAAGAATCCAACCCGCAAAACTCTAAAACCATAAATTATGCAGGTACGACCGCCAAAGAGCGTCTGCTTGGGGCAACACAGGAAATTCTGTAGGCACGCGACATGGCTTACAAGTTTACAAGGACCCTAATGCGAAAAACCGATTCGGCATTGTCAACTAAATAATCCTAATTGTGTCAGAAAATTTTATTGTTATGTTTTTAAAGTCATCTTACAATAATCTTTTATAGAAATTTATTTTCGTTCTGGTTTTCGCTTTCCCCTATATATTACCCATTGGCTGAGTGTTTTTCTCGGTATAAATTTCTTCAAAGTTAGAAAAAGTTGCAAAATTACCTTGTTTAGTTTCATCTCATGTGAATTACTTATTACAGTTTTTCAAACACAGATAAAAAGTAAATATCTAGAAATAGTGAAAGGCAGTAATTGCACATACTAATTATAAAAATATTGTATACAATCAGTTCAGTAATTAAATGGGTTTCCTAATATGGTAGGAAATAGGAGAGTGTGGAAAATAGAAATAAAAAAAATGTTTATTTAATGGAACTGCTTGATAACAAATTTTTATGGATATCGGTGTATAATTATATATTAATACTTATATAAAATAACCTCACGGTCTCAAAAATAAAATCTGCGCCTCGAAAATATTCAAGATCAAGATTCAAAATCGTGAGAAAAATGTCGATATTGCGAGATAACATCTTAACACTTCGAACATTTTAATTTTTTCACAAAATGTCTTGATTTTGTCAACAACCTAATTTGCAAGAATTTGAGATTTATTCGCAAGAATTCAGACGCACAAACCTGCGAGTCTTTCATAGCACTCCTGCACAAAAGATCGCCACATAATAATTATTGCTGAAATTGCTGTGGTTTTCTTTCGAATTCATATGCATATAATAGCACATTGACACTACCTACAACAGCAAACATATACACAATAAGCACTCATTTATGAAATATTCCAGGTTTAAACTTTACATTTCGTCGTGTGAACAATGAAATTTTTGTTTTGGATTTGTTATGATAAACATGCAGTAAAAATAAATAAATATACACGAAGAGTCCAAATAAATATTACGATGACTGCAGTCACTCCCATTTTGCAGAAAAAATTAAGAGTTTTGTTTTCCACAAACAATCCATTCACGATAGCAAAACAACTAGATACATATATATTTTAAATATGCATTAGCGTGAATTTTTTAGATATACCGAGTGTCTCAGTTAAAATTGTTTTTAGCTTGAAAGGGAAATGTTAATTTAGTACACTGATGCAAATATGATGCATTTAAAAAAATACGAAGAAGTGCAAGAATTATTTTGTCTGATTGTACTTGTTGACAAACACATCGTTGATGCCAGGAACTAAAAATGCTGAAGTGCTTTTCGCAAATTTTATTAAACAATCTGTTTGAAGAATTTTAAAAATCTCTCAAATGGAAATTTTTATTTTCAAGCGGAAACACCAATTTCAGTCATGTAAGTTGGTAAGGAGAAGATTATCAAAGCACGCCTAAGCGAGTATGTCATGAGGTCATCAGTTTTTTAAAGACGATAACTAAATTAACTATAACAGATAGGGGAACGAGGGGCTTGTTGTAACAGTTTTTAGGAAAACGAGTATAATTTGGTATCTATTTGCTGTTTGACCATTATAAAAGTATCTATCGGTAGTCTAACTATTCCTCTATTGGACTGAACAGGCAAAAGATCAAAATTATTCACCTTCACTTCACACCAGGCATTTTCTTAAAAAAAGTGCATTGTTACAACTTGCCCCGTGGTTGGGGCTAGTTGTAACAGCCATGAGACAGGTAGTACCAGTAAAACTAAAGCTGATGTTGATACATATTTAGACTTTATTTTTCAAAAATCAACACAACACTTCATTATATACAATTTTTCTTCAGTAAAACTGAAATAAACTTTTAGAAAAAGAGTCAACATTAGAAATTTGAGTGTTGTCTTCCTTTTTCTTAATATATCTGGAAAGCGATATATGGTATAGGTCAAAATTTTGGCTGGCTGTTCGTATGCTAGGTACGAGATTTGTAGAAGTGAATTTGGGATAAGTTGTAACATGTTACAACTTGCCCCAAAGCTATTGTTACAACATGCCCCGTAGCACAATTTTCTACATTTCATTACATTTCGACAAAATTATGTGGCTTAGCGTCAAAATGTGTAAGGAATATCAAAGCTGAGTAATTTTTGAGCTACATGCAAAACTAAAAGTTTTAAATTAATTAATAACTGATACGAAAAACCAAATTTTACTAAAGCAATATTTTACATTACTTGGCCAAAACGAAACACGTGCACACATCCACTCACTGCGCTGGCTCAAGGAACAGTGGTTGTGATGACATGATGTCTTATGGTGCAAGAATTAAATTCAGTAAAATACCTGACGTTAAAGAGTTTAAATTGTGGGTAAAAATTTAGTGTTACAACTTACCCCTGTTACAACAAGCCCCTAGTTCCCCTACTGATTTTTGCAGGGTTTTTTTACACTTGTTGCATAGTTTAGAAATATAATTGATGATGTGTTATTTTTTAGGCAATATTTTTATGGAATTTCCAAAGTCATATGGTTGCAGAACTTTCGAAGTGAGCTTTCCTGTAATAACAACATCGCTTCTAATGTTTAAATTTTTATTACGCAACAGCACTTAGATTCGCATTAGACTCGAGTTCTTCAGTCCCGTTCTCGCTCCCAACCCTGCGTTTTTGAGTGATGCGTGGCATTCGGTTCGTCGCTTGATCTAGCGTCGAAATCTCTCCGTATAGATTTATATTGAAACTCCCTATGCAGAGGTGGATTTTAATCGAATTATCATAATGAAACAGAGATCTTCGGAGATTATGAGGTCGAATTATAAAATACAATGCAGAAGTTTGTTCCTATAATTCGTAATTCCCACCTTAATTGTGTTTTATTTGTTTTATAATACAAAAATTATTTAGTTTTCATATAAAAATTTCTTCCGTTAATTAAGTATTATTATTATTTTTCAACTTTTTCTTGTAGGAAGACTGCTAGTGATATTTAAATGTTTTTGTCGTGTCGTTAGATTCGCATTAGATTCTCGTAGCGGCTTCCAACCCCGCTTTTTGGAGCGGTGCGCGGCCCTGGGTTCGTCGCTCGATCTAGCGTCGAAATCTCCCCGTATCGATTTATAGCGCGAAGTGTCCGTCCCGTGGCTCGAATCGTTCGAACGTGAGCACCGCCGGCCCGCGAATAGACAAGACAATAGTTTGTTTCAGTGGGTCTGAGACAATGGTCCCCTTTTCAAACTTGCCGCCGTATACCTGTGCGCCTCGTCCGATCGCCAGGTAAGACAGGTTGCGGGGCGCGGCAGGAGGCTGTTTGGAATGCGGGGAGGGCATTCGCAGTCGCCGCTTCTACGCTCTCGCTCAGTCCATCTCAAGACCGTAGCCGACTCGTCGGTCCGCGTTGTTTCGCTGTTTCGCCGCCTCAACAAGTGACTGATAACCGACGGCGTGGCGGAGCGCCGCCGCGACGACGACGTGCCGGTGGCAGTGTCAGTGCGCGAGTGCGCGGTGGATACGTCCGCGATCGGCTTCTTCTGCTGCCCCAGGTAGGCCGGCGGCGGCGGCTTCGAGGCCCCGTTCCGGCGGCGGCCGCCCCGGAACGCCACCTCGAAGAGCCGAGCCTCGGAGCCAACAAACGCGAGAGCGCGCCAGCGCCGACGTTTGCAGCACGGCTAGTAGCGCTTTTGTTCTGGTTATTAGCTGGAGAGGTCCTTCCGCGTCGCTGCCGTCGCTCACTTCTATCTGTTGCAGGATGCGCGGGATCCCACGATGACGCCGAAGACGCTCTTCCTGCTCCTCCTGCTGGCGTGCTGTCGGGCGGAGCACGCGCGCGACCTGGAGGTCTCCGAGGGCGCGCCCGTCGGCACCAGGATCGGCTTCATCGGGGACGGCGCCTCCGACAGCGGCCCGCCCTACCTCATCGTGCCGGTGGGCAGCGCTGTCGACACGGACCTGGCGATCGACCAGACGACGGGGGAGATCCGCACCAAAGTGCCCCTGGACCGCGAAACGCGATCGACTTACTCGCTGGTGGCGATCCCGATTAGCGGTGACAATGTGAAAGTGGTGGTTAAAGTGCTGGATGAGAACGACAACGCGCCCACGTTTCCCATGCCGGTGATGTCGATCGAGTTCCCGGAGAACACGCCCAGGGACGTGAAGAGAACGCTGCACCCGGCGAGGGACCTGGACCTAGATATCTTCAACACGCAGAGATACAACATCGTGGCGGGGAACATCAACAACACCTTTCGCTTATCCTCACACAGGGAGCGCGACGGAGTCTTGTATCTAGATCTCCAGATCAACGGGTTTCTAGACAGGGAGACCACCCCATCATACAGCCTCGTTATAGAGGCACTAGACGGTGGAACCCCTCCGCTTCGAGGCGAAATGACCGTAAACATAACGATCCAGGACGTCAACGACAACCAACCCATCTTCAACCAAAGTCGCTACATAGCAATAGTACCGGAGAACGCCACGGTGGGTACCACGGTCCTTCAAGTCTTCGCCACAGACAAAGATTCAGGAGAAAACGGCCAAATCGAGTACTCAATCAATCGTAGGCAAAGCGATCGAGACACCATGTTCCGCATAGACCCAACCACGGGTCTCATCGTCGTTAACAAACCCTTGGATTTTGAGACAAAAGAGCGCCACGAGCTGGTCATAGTCGCCAAAGACCACGGTTTGCAACCCCTGGAAACCACCGCGTTCGTCTCCATCAAGGTAACCGATGTCAACGACAACCAGCCCACCATCAACGTGATCTTCCTCAGCGACGACGCTACTCCAAAGATTAGCGAGTCTGCACAGCCGGGAGAATTCGTGGCACGGATCTCCGTCAATGATCCTGACTCCAAAACCGAGTACTCTAATATCAACGTGACCCTCAGTGGTGGCGAAGGTCACTTCGGGTTGACCACGAGGGACAACATCATCTACTTGGTGATCGTTTCTCTCCCCTTGGATCGCGAACTGCAACCTAACTACACCCTCAATGTCGTGGCCACCGACCGCGGGAACCCTCCTCTGCACGCGTCGCGCACCATCAACCTCATGGTGACCGACATCAACGACAACGCTCCGGAGTTCGAGCGGGAGGTGTACGAAGCCAACGTCATGGAGGTGTCGGACCCCGGGACGTCGGTTATCCAGGTGCTGGCGACCGATAAGGACGAAGGCAACAACAGTGCGATCACGTACTCCCTGCTGGAGAGCGCCGAGACGCACTCGTCGTGGTTCCAGATCGATGCAAGAAGTGGTTTGGTGACGACGCGCGCTCATGTTGATTGTGAAACCGATCCCATGCCGCGATTGACCGTGCTCGCAACGGATAACGGGTTTCCGCCGCTATCGTCTTCGGCGACAGTGCTAGTGACCATCCACGATGTTAACGACAACGAGCCCATCTTCGACCAGAGCTTCTACAACGTTTCGGTCGCGGAGAACGAGGCCGAGGGACGATGCATTCTCAAGGTAAGAGAAAAACTCGACGGGAGGTGGTGGGAAGCGTCTTCGGAACGTGAAAACGAACAAACAAAAGTAAGAGTTCGACCGCGAACGACACTGTTAATTGGACAGGAGGTATGACACGGTGGGTTACCGCGAACGGACGAGATATGCCACATATCTCAAGTGGTCGCATTGCTGAGGACACGACGGCAGTGCGACGGTAATGGGGCTTCTAACGATAACCTAATAATACTAATACGAGTTTGCTGCGGGTTTAAGGAAGACGACCGGTGTTGTGGAGTCGAGAAACAAATAAATCACTTCTGGAATCTCACTAAATTATTCAAGCTTGTGTTGACAAACTTTGCAGTTTTTGGCTGGATTACAAGAAATATGAGTTGGTGCCAACGCTGCAATCTTTAAAACCATCAAGAATAAACTATGAATCTCAAAATAAACTAGCGCAAGTACAGTTTTAGAAAGGTTAACTTTATGGGTTGAGATGAAGCGTAACTACTTGTAGATTGGAATTTTCTAAGCAGTTGTGCAGATGTAAAAGCTGCATGTGATTTATTTTATTAAAAGCCTGCGAAATAGACGCAAGACTTGTTAAAATATTTTCCTGGGAACTAGGCAGGTTTTTAGAGAAAACGTTGTCACTAATGATGGTGCTACGAAATTGACTATTCTCTGAAAATATTGCGTTAGAATTGGATTTAAATGCAGTTTAGTTTTTTATAGAGATAAGAAGTGGGAAAAATCTTATGTTCCAATCGAGTCCCATAATGATAATTAGCATTTTTCCACGCGTTCACTATTTTGAAAATCCATATTTCGTTTTTTTAACAAAAAATCGGTTTAATATTTTAATTAGAGTAAGAGCACTGTTTTTGTAAGTTAATACAAATTTACAAGTTCAAATGACCATAATACGTAAAACTGCAAATACAAGTGAACAAGGCGGCAGTTCTGTAACGAATTTAACTGTGATGTCTATAAAGCTCTATTTTGTCTCAGTATTTACCCAAGTGATCGCTTACAAACCACTGTTGGTCTGAATACAACCCTGAAATTTACGCAAATTTCAAGCGACACGCGTCTGAAGGATCGACAATGATCCCTACCGGGAAGGTTGTTCGGCTATTGTTGGTCTAACTGAGATTGACAAGGCCATAAAATTTTATTAGTACACAAAAATAGTGTCTTCACTGTAAATGAATAACATTTTTCGTCTCTTTGAAGAAGAATCGAATTTTTTTATTATTAATTTTTTTTTATTTAAGAAATTATAAAACGAAGTTACATACTTCCAATATTATTATTGCAAAATTTTTATAGAAAACTTGTAAATAATCTGTCAGGAAAGACCCTTAGTTTGACCATCCTGACAGATGTATAAAAGGGTTTTATCCCCAAAAATAGAGGGGGTAGGCCAAATTCTAATGGTGTCTCAGCTAAAATTTCGTGGCCTAATATCTTGAGAACGGGTAGAGATATTGAAATTCTGTTGACGCCATTGCTTTTAGTTTGAACAGAGAAGGTTAATTTAGTTCATTGCAATCATGATGCATAATGCATCAGTGCACAAGATTTAAAACTTTACCTTGGTCACTTTACTTAAAAGTCGCACTCAAGAAATTCTTTAGATGGACTCTACAGTTCTTACAATGAAGTGGAAAAATATTAAAGAATCCTTACTTTTTTAAGTGGTATAATTAACAAAATTAAAATTTCTAATTTATTTCTTTTATACACAGTAATGTGAAAATATATAGGAATATATAGCGATGATTATGACTTTGCAAATGACTCCTGGATTTAAAAAACTTTCTTTGGACAAAAGTCGTACATTTAATTTTTTAAATACTTTCAGTTCATTTGCTTCAAGAAACTGAAGGATATTTTGTAAATATCGCGCTACGGTAGGTAAATATTGAGACCTGATTTGTTTTCCAGCAAGCCATTTGTTAATTAGGTTCTTGGACGCTGTTCTTTGTGAAATAATTTTTTCTTTCTCATAGCAAATATTGACATGAAAATAGTATGCAATAACATATTTTAACAATGAAATTTTGCGGAGAAACCAGAGTTATAATAAAAACAGCAGATAATATTGTAGAACAATAAAACAAGATTTTTAATTTTAAAATTAAATGTAAACTGATAAAAAAATTGAAAAAGTTGAAACATATACCTTTAGACAGCACTATTAATTTTGCCTTTTTTGCTTTATTATACTTTCACTTTACAGATCCTCCTCTTTCTCATTTGTCGCTCATTTCTTAGAAGAAACTCGCTTTCGCTGAAAATCTAGCTTACATGAAACACAAAACTAAACAGCTAATTTATACAAAATTTAGAATTCAATTTAGCACAAAAGAATTTGTGTGAGATTATTATAATTATTATCTTCTAATGGTCCTCAAAGAAGACGACTCGAAACCTTTGTAATGAGAGAGAGAGAGCAAATAATGTATGTCGATTTCCACTAGAGTAATAATTTTTAATTAAGTGCTCGAGTTTAACAAGAATAAGGACCTTAAATGGAAATACAGATCAATTAAATTTTGATTTTATAAAAATCGCGAATTAAATAAATTTAATTGGGTCGATTTTCGCTTGCGATAGAAATGGTTCAAGCAGCCTGAAACCCCGGCGTGTTTTCGGCCGTGCGGTTCGCGCAGCGCACACTACAGAATGTCTCCTCGTCCTCGAGCTTTCTGGACAACGGTCCGCGTCAACGTTTCCTAATATAAAATTTATAGTGTCTCCTGCTGGTTTAAATGCTTGTTTTATGCGCGTTTCTGAATGAGTGCCGGTGTGATGTCCTGGAAAAAATGTTATGATTTTGGACGGGTCATCGACGTCGAGAAAGGTTTCGCGTTTCGGATGCATGTGCAACCTGTTACTTTCGGATTTTTTTCGGAGTAACCTCCCACGATAAGACAGGTTTCGACAATTTCAATGGTATGATTGAGTAACGCAATTAACATGAAAGTGAGCGTTAAGAGCTCGAAATACGAGATACACAGGACGACATTTACAGTTAGCTTTTTACAACCATGCCAGCACGAATTAAGGAAAGTTTCACCATTGAAAAAAGGAACAAAGAGGTGCGGAGATTTCGAGTGCGTTAAGTTTTTAAACTCCACTACGTCTACGAGCCGAGACGTTGGCGATTTAACGGTTCCGAGTCGAAAATAAAGGAGATAGAAGAAAAGTTTTTTTATAATTGGACACTCGGACAGCCGTTAGTGTCAACGCCGGCCTTGCCTCATTATTTATTCGATATGCTTTTGATGGCTTCGAGCTGAAAACCAGTTACCTGGAAAACTATTCTGGACGGAGAAATGCGAAAAATTTGGTAATTGTGCGGCGGGGTCGGCGGTAGGTGACGTCTCGGGGGGCAGACGCACGCTTATTTGGACCTGCCAACATGTAAACAAAAGTCGCTTGCGAAACGCAGTTAGGAATTTGTTTTCTGCGAAATCCGAACCTGCGTAGGCTTGCACGCTCGTTTTATCGGAGTTATGAACCAAATAACTTAATCGCTGATAAGATGAAGTTAACAAGGTGCTAAAATCATTCTGGAAAATATTTATATCCAAGTGGAAAACGATTTTAAAGCGAACGTTTGTTTTTCTCTAGCGGACCCTGAAATTAGAAATTTACACGTCGTAGAGTTGTAAAGTTTTACGATATTGCAGATAATTTATACTTATGTTTTTGTAACTATATTATATCTAAATTATATAATAAAAAGAGCACAATTGGTTCATTTTATTCCACCTAAGTGTTTAGGGATTATGGAAATTCGCAGTGAAGAGAGGGAGTAGTCTAATACCCCGGCGATATAATTGTTGTAAAATTTTTGATTTATTTTATTTTTTATTTCACATTTAGGTTTTCAGATGTGATGCATGCACTCCCAGCTGACATAAACTTGACATTTTTGATACTACTTTCACCTGCAGTATACTTTGGTTCTGAATCGGGGCACGTGTGTGCATACGCTTACTTCGAATGTGAGGCATGTTCGTATCTAAATAATAATGTAACCCAGTAATCGATACATCGTAATAACACCGTAAAACAAAATTACATAAGAAATATTTAAAATTTATTTCACAATGTAGATGCATTCTATCGATCACGTCGCCTTTCCAAGTCTAAATCTAAATCCAAACATAACACTTTCAACATTTAAAACTACAGACTCTCTAAACAGAGATCATTCCTCTTCGAGTGATTGTCACTCATTAATTATAAATCCAGCCGTAGGAGTTGCGAAATTAATATTTTTGAAATAATATCAATCCCCTGCTTTCCCCGGAAATGACATCAGCTCTCCACGTCGAATAAAAATCCAATCGACCGTAAATTCACAATACAAATATTACACAATCCCCAATCATCATATTCATATCTCAGCTTGGCACGCAGGTGTCCGCACCGAGCCCCATCCGAATCCTTATCTCCCGACACCCACAGTTTTATCTATCTCACGCCCAACAACCCGAACCCATTTCCCCGGAAAGAGGGCACCTCGTTCCCACCGCCTGCATTATATGCAACTCGGCGTCCATAAATCTGCGAATATTGTGAAAAGCGTACGAGGCGGGCGCAGCTCTCATTAGAATGCAAGAGAGAAAGGATTTATGATTAATTAGACTCGAGCGAAATAATCGGAAACGACCTGCTAAGGCACCTGTGCGCTGTGTCAACTTTCAACTTTACCAAAGCGCGTTTATTTACTCGCTTGTCAATGCAAATTGCGCCTTCTGACCCACTTCGACGGCATCTAGAGAGTGAAACGCGCCGGCCGACTCTAACACCCATCCGCACTTAGAGCTTATCGCTTATCGACGTGGGCCGGCCGCGGAAAAATTGCGCTTTCACGCGCCGACGACCGGAAAACGGCGCCGCGCCCGAAAGAGCGCCGGTTTGGGCTGGGACAGAAATGGGCACAGAGCTGGGGCACCGCGGGCGCTTGGGCAGGGTCGACACGACAGCAGAATCTAAGA